ACTTCTTTAAGTTGACCTTTTTAACAACAGGACAAGGATTTCATTACGGCTAATTTCTCCAGAGCTTTTAAGTATGGAATAAAGATGAACAAGGCTCCTCCTCAAAGTCCCCTTCTCACATTTTAGCACTATGAAGGCAATTCTCTACATAATATTCTCTGACCATTCACCACCACCACCGATGTCTTCATTGCCTCCCAGACTTGATCCTAGCAGGGATACCTACTTCGTTGCCATTCTCTGTGTATCCTCTTAGAACTGATCAAGGAGACAATCTTCTGTGTCTGGTGTAACTAAGTCAGAACTATTTGAAAGCTACTACCTATCTAAAGGTCCTGTATTCTTTAGTTTAAGTTTACTAAATGTCTTGGAGATACAAAATAAATAGAACTCAAGAAGCTTGAAGTGTAGGAAATAAGACATATACATTCAAGGACAATTAGTACATGGGGTGTAAATGCTCTAGCAGAGGCAGGCGCTGGTTGCTATGGGAGAAGAACACTTAATCCAAACAAAAGGGAATAAGGTAAAACATTACAAGAAAGAGCTTTAGGCTAAATCATTAAGGAGCTAGTGAGTCAGATGACTCAAATAGATCATTCCAGGCACAAAAATTCAGGAACAAAATAAAAGGAAAAGGCACATAAGTATGAGTGAGAGACAGAAACTCCAAAGAGGTTGGAGAGGTAAAGAGGGCCTTGAGTGTCATGCTAAGAAATATGGAGTTTACCCTGAAGGCTATGGGAGCCACTGAAGAATTTTAAGCAGGAGAGAGATATGACCACAAAGCAGATTTGAGTTTAAGAGACATCATCGTGGAAATAATTTACCAGGAGGAAAGGAGTATGGGGGCAGAAAAAGGAGGTCACAGCTACCTAAACGCCTATCACCTGGACTTGTGGATAATTAAACTAATGGTTTTTACCCAGGGGAAAGAAACAATCTCTGAAATGCCTGTAGCAAGATGTCTCTATATTAAGGATTACCTAAATAAGTAGAGCCTAACATTTATGATGTATGTCTCCCTATATGGTATTAGATGTGCATCATATCTCTATCATACACAAGTATAACACTCTAGAGTACAAAATGGAGATGTTTCATAATTTAAATATTCCTTCTGTCTGAGGTAATCTCATGAATCTCATTCAGATAGCTCATCTGTTCTAAGCCAGATAATCGTATCCAACATAGGAAGGACCTTGGGAGGTCCAATGATATCATGGACCACTCTCTACTTTGTATAATCTTTTGGACTGCCTGTATCCTTGACATCATTTAATAGAGTAACACAGGTTAAAAGTGCTGAGTCATGCTGGTCTCATTTGACAGTCTGGTCCCATATGTTTGCTCAGGGAGGGAAAACAAGGAGGCTAGTGAGGCTGCCACACTGTGACTGAAAGGAGAGTCACAGAAAGAGGAGTTCAGAGTGGTAAATAAAGGACTGGATATTATAGTGCTTTATTAGAGATTGTAATGCCTTTGACTCTTACCCTGAGAGAGATAGGAAACCACTGAAGGGTTTGGAGTAGAAAACTGACATGGTAATTGTGACTCGTGTTTTAAGAAAAGGCTATAGGGTGCCATGAACAGAAAAAGGGAGGCCACTTAGGAGGTCCTTACACGGGGTGCCTGGGTGGCTCAGTTGGTTAAGCGTCTGACTTCAGCTCAGGTCATGATCTCACAGTTTGTGGATTCAAGCCCCATGTTGGGCTCTGTGCTGATACCTCAGAGCCTGGAGCCTGCTTTGGATTCTGTGTCTCCCCTCTCTCTGCGCCTCCCCAGCTCAATCACTCTCTCTCTCAGAAATAAATATTAAAAAAAAAAAAAAAAAAAAAAAAGGAGGTCCTTACAAAAAATAGGTAAAAGATGATGGTGGCTTGGAGAGGTAGAGGTAATGAGAAGTAACCTATATTCTGCATATATTTTGAAGATAGAGCCAACAACATTTACTGACAGATTAAATGTGAAATATGAGAAAAGGGAGGAGTCAAGCATAACCCCAAGTTGTTTTGGCCTGAGAATCTGGAAGGATGAAACAGCCAATTACTGAGATGAGGAGGACTATGAGAGGAGCAGGTTTCATAGGAATGACCAGGATTTCAGCTTCATATATTAGACTCCAAAGCTAATTAGACATATAAATAGAAATGAGAAGGGGACCACTGCCTAAATGAGTCTGCAGTTCAGGAGAGAAATCTGGGCTAAACAGACAAATTTGGGAAATATCTTCATATGGATGATGTTTAAAACAACGAGCCTGGACGAAATCATCAAGAGATGATTTGTATTGTCAAAGAAAAGGCCCAAGGAATGAGCGCTGAGGGATTCCAGTTAGTAGAGATTAGAAAGAGGAAGAACAAACAAAGAAAACCAACCAAGTGAAGAAACTTATTCAAGATAAAGGGAATGACCATCTATGTCATCTTAATGATAGGCACGAAAAATGAGGGTTAAGACTTTTTCACTGAATTTAGCAAAAGGGAGGCCTCAGATAACCTTAATAAGAACAGAAATTTAAAAGGTAGAACACATGGGTTTTAGATATTTTAAGATGATTTCTACTGTTCTGGCTAGGGTGACTGAGTGATAGTATATTCACAGACAGATATAGGGAGTACAGTCCTAATTTTCCATGCTTAGCTTCAGAGTGTAAGAAAAATCCCCAAATCCTTTTCTAACTAATAAAGTATTAACACCTAAAATGAAATACCAAGATATTAATACTTAAAAAAAGTCTCAAAGCATAACCAACAATTGCATAACAAAGCATCACTAACTATTTTTACCTGTTTCTTCTTTTTTTTAATTTTTAAGTGTTTTTATTTTGTTTTTGAGACAGAGAGAGACAGAGCATGAGCAGGGGAGGGAGGGGCAGAGAGAGAGGGAGACACAGAATCTGAAGCAGGCTCCAGGCTCTGAGCTGTCAGCACAGAGCCCGACGTGAGGCTCGAACTCACAGACTGTGAGATCATGACCTGAGCTGAAGTCTAACGCTTAACCGCCTGAGCCACCCAGGCGCCCCTTTACCTGTTTCTTCTTAAAGTGAGATCATGGCTATTACCTGAATAACAGTACTGAGCCCATCTATCATCAGAATTATGTAGGATTAAAAGACTTCACCCCTCTAAGAGAAGAGATCCAGATTTGAGTCTAGGAGCTTGCCCAACAGAGTCTAATCCTTTGGGTAGGAAAGATGCCTCCAAATCATTTCTGCTAGAAACAGCAGATGGAGATTTTGTTTATTTTGCTTTGTTTTATATGTACCCTCTTGGCAAATTCACTTCTAGAAAGCTTATCCAGAAGAAACTAATCCTCTGAGCAGGAATTTTTTTAGGTTGTTGCCCAAAAGGAGTCCAACCTATGAATGGGAAAACTTACGGCCGAATCCCAGCACTAGTCACAAATTGATTATAAGCCAGAAACTGAAAGAGACAAGAGGTTGACTGAGTAGTTAAGACAGTAAAGATTAGATGGTAAGGTCAGCACCCAGGGAAAATTCATGTGGCCTACTGAAATGGTGCCCCTCCACCCCAATGCCAGGGACACTGCTTATAGAAGCAGCTGTCCATTCCCACACTGTCCACTACTTTAAAAGTAGCTTCTCCATCTTGGTCAGTGTGGTCTTGGGTGGAGAAAAAGCTATATCTTCCAGAGGCAAGTCTTTGGTAACATAACTATGCAGCATGGTACTCGGGGAAGGAACTAATGGGCAAAGACATTGCTATCCTGAACTGACCCTATCAACTTCTAATTCTTTGTTACTGGAGTCTTTTATGCTAATAAGCAAATGGGTTAATTGCTTAAAGTAAGCTTGTTTACAGATCACTGGAAACAATTATTAATTTGATGAGCTTCAGAAAGCTGGGGGATAATTCAGTACTAACCTAAAGAGATAGACAACATTTCTAAATGTTGCTTATTTTAGCAGAAAACAGTTTAAGGCAGATTCATTTGCACACAGCTCAACTGACAGCCAGCTTCCCACGTAAATTCACGTGAGTACATTCTCTTTCCAACTGTCCCTGAGCATAGAATACACTATATTACTGAAAGCCTCTTCCTGTTTGAAATATACACTATTAAATACTTTTTCTCCTATGCCTTGGCTACATTTTCATGAGCAATATACGGAACCCACATTGAAATCTCAACTTTCTGTTGAGATACCTGATTGTCAGTGGAATCTGACAAGTATCATTCATTTTGACTCAACAAACCCTTATGGCGCAGTGACAGTGTGCCAGGAACCATGCTATTGAAAGATGAGTAGAAGATCAATTTTATCCTCAAATTGCTAACTGGATTTTCTCATGGTGTTTGGGGCGTGGGGGGTGGTGGAACAGGAAAGGGTCAGAAAAAAACTTTGTGGAAAGGGAAATAATTTGAGATCAACTGTGAAGATAGCCAGAGCTTCAACTGGTAAAAGGGCATTCCTAAAAAAGGAAAGAGTGAGACAAGATGGAGAGGGGGACCAGCGGCCTGCCTACCTAAGCAGGAGGGGATGCAGGATGGACAGAGGAAATGTGGCCACATGGAAAGATTTGAATGTCCTGGTCAAGAGGCTGTGTGGAATGAGGAGTCACTGAAGCTATCAGAGGTGGGAAGCGATAGGATTCAGGTCTGATTTCTTGAAAACTAGGTTGGAGGAAGGATAATGGATGCCTCACAATAAGACAGAGAGAACAGAGAGAGAAAAAGAGACAACCTGTGGTCAGGAAGAGACACAGTGGCAGGTTTCTATTTCAATTTCCATTTCAAGGAAGTGGAAAAAGAAATATAGATATTGTAGACACTGTAAGAGTAGAACCTACATGACCGGGAAAATGAGTGATTACTCACTGAGGTCTCTTTCCTGACCACTCTATTGAAAATCACCACAGCCTACTCACATACACAACCCCATGTCACTTTTCCACTTCACCTTTTCTCATAGTACTTACCCCCATCAGATATACATTAAACATATTTAGACATACTTTAAACCACATCTTACTTACCTATTTTGTCTGTCTTCCTTGACTATAATGTAAGCGTCATCAGGGCAGGAACTTGGATCCGTTTTGTTCACTGTTGTACTTCTACCAATGCAAGAACTCAGTAAATATTTGCTAAATGAATGAAGGCAAAAATGACTGAAATATGATGGTGTCATTAATAGAAACCACAGGGTCAAGGTTCTCTTTTCTGAGTCCTGAGGCTACAGATAATCATACAAGAGCATAATAACAAATTAGGCTGTGTTAAAATCATGGCTTTGAATATATCTCAATGATTTTCTGTTTCCAAAAGACTTTAAGTTATATTTATAACCCATTCAAACTCGGGGTGAGGAGACCTCAGTTCTGTCTGCAGTTCTAATACAAAAGATGCCAGTTTAGAAAAGTCATTTTTCTTCCATAAACTGTATTTCCCTCATCTGTAAAATTAGGGATTAAGTGAACTTACATACACCCACTGCAGGATTAGACAAATCCCAATTTAATTAGCCAAGGATGTAGAATCTTCCAGCCAGATCTGTGAAATGACCAAATGCTTGCCACACCACTGGCCTTTTTTATACATGTGGTTAAAATCACTTACCCAGAAAGAACTTATGCTGCCACAGGCATGCTTCCACTTAAAGGAATGTTTATAAACAGCAGATCTTCTAGTTGTTAAATCAAACTCAGCATGAGCAAGGTCACAGACCCCATCCATATGGAGAAAGCAGAGTCAGGGCCTGGGTGTCCTTGGTCAATTTCTCTCCCCTAGCTTTCCAGTGTTCCAGAAAGCTTGTTTCTCCAGAGGCTATAATTAACTGATTTAAAACCTGTTATCTGTGCAGTTTTGATAATGAGTTTGGTCTGAAGATCTCAGTTACAAATTCATTTCCTCCCAACTTCCAAGATTCCTTTAGTGCTAATATGCTATATTTCTATAAACTTTCATAGGACCTCACCCAGTTGTAAGGCTGATAACCTTTCTTCCTTCTAAATACAAATTCACCATCAGAGTATATATGGTCCTACCAGATAGCTATTTCTTTAAGCACTAAAAAGAAGCATAGTGATTTTGAATTACGGGAATTTTAAGTAGTTTGAATGGGTTATAAATATAACTCAAAGTCCTTTGGAAACAGAAAGTTATTGAGATATATTCAAAGCCATGATTTCAACACAGACTAATTTGTTATTATTTAACATTCACATCCCACTTGGGTAGCATTATGGCTCATGAACTGTAGGGTGATGGAGGAAGCATGCCATCTGCTTCATTGCTAGGAGCTGTGGTCTCCTGAGGTCACTAACGGTGATTATTAACATAGCCTCAAAGGAAACAGTGACTCTGTGCCCAAGGAGGCCAGAAGCTCAAATGTTCTCACTCCAATTCTCTTACTGATTAACTAGGCAACTTCTTAGCAGGAGACCCTTAACCTTGAGCTATCTCTTTAACCCAATCTTTAACAGATTTGATAAGAGCAGTATTTTGCCCCCTTTCATGCTTTTAGATTAGATTACTTTTTTTTCTATATATTGTACTCCAGGGATAATATCACTTATCACACACAAAGGTGTTGGCTGGGTTAATTAAAATATGATTCCAAGATAGACCACAAATTGAAATGCTAAACAATGATTGTTCCCTCATGTCTGTGAGTTCATGAGCCATTGTATAAAAATAGTCTCAGTTCATTCTTTATATCATTACAGAGTGTCTTCTTCACAGAAGAGTAAGGAAAAGTTGGCCCATTCATGCCAGCATATTATCATATTTCAGTATGATAATTCAAGGGATTTTTAATTGGCACTCATTATTAATAATAACCCCGATTTTTCAAATAGAGCAGAGGAAGCAGTCATTTACACATTTGTTTTAGAATTAGAAGGTTTTTGCCCCCTATTTTCTCAATTACCATTACCCCCAACCCTAAAACTTCAAATTCTGCTGTTAGAGATGTTACTCCCCCCCAACTCCCCTCCCCCCAAAACAGTTGCTCCAAATGTTTATATCCCTGGAAGATGTAGGATATTAAGATGCAATCAATCACTAACACTGTGTGAAGCCCCACCAGCAGAAGGAACTCAGGAGTATTAGGTGTTTGGGGTGGTGGGGGGGGGGGAGAAGCAGGGCTAGAAAAAGAAGTAGCGGGGGCGCCTGGGTGGCTCAGTCGGTTAAGCGTCCGACTTCGGCTCAGGCTCAGGTCATGACCTCACGGTCTGTGAGTTCGAGCCCCGCGTCGGGCTCTGTGCTGACAGCTCAGAGCCTGGAGCCTGCTTCAGATTCTGTGTCTCCCTCTCTCTCTGACCCTCCCCTGTTCATGCTCTGTCTCTCTGTCTCAAAAATAAATAAACATTAAAAAATTAAAAAAAAAAAAAAAGAAAAAGAAAAAGAAGTAGCGGATGTCTAAGACAAACTTTACCTATTTCACGGTTTTGCCCAAGGCAGCCTTCCAGTAATAGGCTTTAGCTCTGTGGTGGTAGCAATGGGAAAACACAATGGCAAAAAGGTAAACTTGTTGGTTTCAAAAATTCACCTCGACAAAAAAAATAGAAGATGAAAAGCGTACCCCTAGGGTAGAGATATGAATAAAACCTCACAATTCTATTCAAACTACTATCTTTGCTGGTCCTTGGTAACTTGGAGGCATCTGCAAATCTTGCCCATTCTTCGCTGCTTCTAAATTAAGCAGAGCCAAGCCCAGTGACCACATAGGAAACAAAAGCCAAGCCCACCCAGGGAGAGAGGACCCCAGGCTCAGAACACTGGCATCAGGACCGCACTAGGCCTGTCAGCAAAGCTGGCAGCATCTGAGATTGCATCCCCAGGCATGACTGATCAGGCAGAGCAGTGTTTGGGGAGATGAGAGATGCTTCCATGAAAATTTGTGTCAAAAGCAGCATCTTCCCATTTAACAAACACCTTTATTTAACTCATTTCCTTTGCAGCAAATACCATTTTTTTCATTTTTGTAATACTACATTGTCTCATCATGCTCAAAAAACATGTAAGTAAGCATTAAGAACTGCAATATGTATAAGTAAAAAATCATTCATGGGGAAGAATAAACAAATGACAAGATTTTTAAGCCAAATCAGAACCATATTATCTTAAAAAACATATTAAGTGTGCAAATAATTGTATAAGTAAGTAGCAAACACAAAAACTATGTGTTTGCTATATACTATGGCCTATCTCTTCAGAGACAGTGTCATTTATTTCATTTAATACTTTAAGAATAAAAAGACAGACTTATAATCATTGTAAGTATTTTAAGTATTACACAATGAATAAAGTATTTTCTTCTCTGTGTATATGATGTTAATACAAATTCTAATTGCTGGTAGTAGTGTATTACAGTTTAAAACAATAATCAGTGTTCACATTATGCAAGAAAAGGGACCAAATTGTAGAATTATGAAAATATGGAATCATGTGTTTAGGTCCAACTATGCCCCACTAAGTCATATGAAAGAAAACTGAGAACATACAAAGACACCACATGGAAATGCTTTCCTAAGCATTTCCAAGCATTTCCTAATCAAAGTCCTCTTAGAAACTTACTTAGAGCTACACCATTCTTGGCCACTTGCACCTTCTCTCAGAGGAAACACATCCATCTTTTCTATCACCAAACCACCACCTTGGTGCTGGATTCCATTCATTCTTCTTCCCTCAGGGACTGCCATCCATCAGTGTTGCCTTCCCTCTTCTGCATCTTTAATCAATCTCTCTCTCTCTCTCTCTCTCTCTCTCTCTCTCTCTCTCTCCTGCAATTTTACCTAAGCAAACAAATAAGCTCAAGCCTCCTGCAATTTAAAACCACTCCTCTCACACATCACCAAGTCCTACCACCCTATGTGCCTTTTCCCTTTCTCACTCAACACACTGAAGAAACAACTATATATCCCAACTCTAATTCTACAGTGTATAATTAGTCTTCAACTTTCAACAATCTCACATCTGCCTACCCTCAATAACTGTCAAAACCGCTCTATTCACAGTGACCAGGGATACTCCCTTTAGTGAAACCCAATAGAGAATTTGTAGTCCTTATTCAGTTTGTCTCTAACATGCTACACTGTTGGCCGTTAGTTCCTATTTGAAACCCATCCCTTCACTACTGAGGCATTGCACATATCTAGAAACCAGGTTCTTTTTACCCTTCTGTCTGTCTATCAATGCTTCTCTGTCACTTTTCCTGGGTCTTTTTTTCCCCAATTATAGAACATTTATAAGCATCAAACTATGTTTATCAAGCACATTTTGATGCTTATAAATGTTGTAGCAACGACGAAAAGATAGTCAGACTTCTCATTTGAAGGCAAAACCTGGGAGCCATCCATGCTTGTCCCTTCTGATATACTAACAAAATACTGGGCAGTGATCTTTCTAAAATGAAAATCTGAGTACATGACTTCTCTATTTAAAATCCTTTTATATAGCAACCCAAAGTCTTCAAGATAAAGGTCAGCCTTGTTAGCTTTGCACAGGAAGGTGTTTGCAATCAGGTATCTACCTATTTCTCCAGCATCACCGCTGCGTCTCCTTCTTAAGGACCCAATGTTCTGGCCATACTATCTTGGACGACCTATACTTCATACAATGTGCCATGGTCTTTAACATCTCTGTCCATCTGCCATTTCCACATATTGTGTTGTGATTCTAGAATACTTCTCTCCATTCTGACTAACTATTCTTTGTAGTTCAAGATTCAATTTAGGCATCACCCATTGGTATCTGCACGCTATTCACCTTTGCAATTCCTACCCATTACACCATCAGGTATGCATGCATGTGTTTGTGTGTGTATCTTCCCCACTGATCTGAAAACCCTCAATTTGCTTTTTCTAGTGCCTACCATGTAGCTGCCCATTAAATGGAGCAAGAGGAAGCTCTACCTTAACTTAAAAAAAAAAAAAAAAAACACTACTATATTCAGAGAAAATGTGTCAAGTGAATATACTATAGCATAGATTCTATTACCTGAAAGTTATCATTACCTGCCTCTCATTATGATAAATAAACTTCAGTGTTACCTTAAAGAAACCTCTTCTATGGTCTGTTTTTCATTTTTTCAAAATGTTCAGTATTATTCTTG